AACGTCATATGTCATAGACCATTACACTTTACCTCAAGACACATTTCATGAGTTCAGTGACTTGTATTTGGTTAAATATATTTTACAAAAACACCCTTCCTTAGATTTGAAGACTCATGGGATGGAAAATCCACCCATTCCCTTGGTAGCGTATTTATTCCCAAGACTAATAATTTTCATCACCGAAAATGGCCTTTGTCTCTAAACTGAGTTTGTATGAATTCATCTGCTATATGCTGCCTCTTATTATGCTGTTCTCTCCCAGATTAAAAAGCCTCTTGTACTTCTACTGTCTCCCCATGAGGATACTTACATAATGTGAACAATTCATCTCTTCATCATCCTTTTGATAAGCTAAGCAGACCGAGCTCTCAGAGTCTTTCCCTCTAAAGAAAATTCACTAATTTTTTTTCCAGCTCTTGTTTGTGCCTTCACCGCTTTTTCAACATGCTTTTTAAAATGCATTTTTAATATCGGTCTCCCAGAAGGCATATTCTGAAGTAAAGGCATTTTCTGTAGCACACCTGGGAATTGAATTAGCCATTCTTGCCACAGCATTGCATTGAGGAAACCTTCTTCCTTGCTTCTCCACAATAACTCCTCAGACCTTCTGGGGATGTAACCCTCATTCTGTAGATAAGTCTTGTTTCATTCTGAGGCATGCAATTTTGCAGACATTCTGTCTGACAGGGCTCACAGTAGAGTGTGATCCAGTCTGCTGTGTTTGGCCATCCTTTTCTCAACCTGCTGATTTAAGTCATGGTCAAACTATACCGGCAGTGATTCTATATTTACTTCCAGATTTACCCACCAAGGAAAACCCTAAAGCACATGAAGCCCCACAGTGATCCCTTCAGATCCCCCAACAGCTTCCATGATTAGTATATTAAGTACTTTCAGAGATCTGTCAGCCAGGTCTGAATCAATTTTACTGTTCCATGGCTAATGTACAGTGGTAATGCTTTTAACAGACATAACTCAGTATAGCAGTAAAGCCTCTAGAAATGCTGAAACACACTGTACAGCTACCTCTGTTGACCATTGTGTAATTTTCAAAATTAAATCTGTTCTGTGTTGGTTTTAATTTTCTTTTTTTTTCCCTTTGGCAAGGCATAGTATACTTGACATGTGGCCAAATGCTAGGAATTTGTTCTTTGTCCAAGCCATCTTTTGTATATAATACAATGATAATATGTATTATATATATATAGCTTTATATTCATAGTATTTTTATACCTAATGGAAACATATGCCATGAATGGGCTCATGCAGCATGTTCTGAGAAAGACAACTTTGCTTCAGATCATTCAGGTTATCTTTGTAGATTACTATTTTGTAGTAACTGTTGTCTTAATTCTATGTATTTTACAGGGGTTATCTTCCCTCTCAACATTAATACCTTCTAAAAGCTAGAACCTTGGGCCACATATGTGAAGAGGTTGATCCTTTTTCTATGCAGAGGGTCATCTTTTATTGAACTAACTGAAAAGATTCATCTGACTATGAATATTTACAAGTCTGAGCTTTTTTGTCCATAAGCTTCTAAAGAAAACCTGATAAGATGCTTTTTTTCCAAATCCTTTGTAGAACAGCAAGTTTATTTCTCATGGATTTTCAGGCTTACAGCTTGCAAAAAACCCCAACATATCAAGTCTAGTAACTTGTGATACAAGAGCTGCCTTTTTACTGCACTAGGAGAAAGGTTTCAAACTCAGAAATGGCAATTGGAGATATTCAATGTCTTTTATGGCAGAGGCTGAACTCCTTTGGAGAATCTTGTATTGGATCAACTATCAAAAAAGATGATAGAGATTAATACAAAGAAACAAACACTTCTTGCTGCTGTCTTCAGCTTTAATGATACCAGCTTAAAGCTACTGCATGGGTGGGTGTATGGTTGGTTTGTGAGCGTATGAGAACTGAGCAGCTAACAATGCTTTGTCTTCAGCTACTGAACTCCAGTGAGCACGTGCAGCCACAGAAAACAGTCTTTTGGGGCCCATAGCTCTTGTCCAGTTATTTGCAGGCATTGGCACCCCACAGCTATGGAGTGTGAGTGGCAGATGCAATCTGTTAAGACTGGATGAAATCAAACACAGGGCCACAGGGCTTTCCTGCTTTATGCTACTTTCACATGTTATGTTCATATCTAAGCATTATTTTCTGATCTAACCTCCACGACTGCCTTCTACAGGCACTTAGTTGTTGGCAAGCTGCTTCAAGCCAACTGAAGGAAAAAAGCTGTGAGCTGTGCAAATAGCTAAAAATAAGACAAGATTTTGGGGATTAAAAGTATTTTTTTAACTTGTTTGCAGACTTATTAATACAGAGCAACGAGTCTGAGACCATTCTTCAAGCCTGATGTCTTTAAACTCATCATTCATCTATTTTCTTGCATCCATGTTTTGGATAGATAACCCTGCTATAAGTTGCTGTTTACATAGGATTTCATGAGTTTTGTGGAGAAAACTGTTTTTGTGAAGACAGATATTGCACTAACTTGGTGATTAGAAAGGAGACAAATATGGCTGATCATAACCCCCAAGGCAGGGGGATTGGACCTAGATGATCTTCAAGGTTCCCTTCCAACCCAAACCTCTTCAGGCCAGAACAGTCTGACCCCTGTTAAAAACAGACCTACCTTTATAAGAATGCACACAGAGAAAGGGAAATATCTGTGGGGTTTATGGTTTCATCTGTCCCCTTTTGTATAAGTGTAACATCCCCAATACCTATCTGATTTTCAGTTTCACCCTGGATATTTGACTGACATGAGCACATTTGTCTTACCAGCAGCGTGGCAGAACCAACAAGCCAGTGAAAGCGATTCTTTTCAGCTACACGCCTCACCGGCACCGTTATCAGTGAGGCTCCCACTGCAGCATGGCCAGTTCTTGGGGTGTGAGAGGGGATGGAAAACCTCCCAGCCTGGTCCTCAGCATTGCACGGTGGAGTTTGCAGAATGGTCTCTTAAAACATTATTTTTGACTTCTAAATCGAAACTTTTTGGTACAAAAGGCACAGAAAGGTACTTTCCACACAGTCTCACAATGCAATTTTTGCTGTCCAATGTCAGAAACTTGTAATTCATCCTTAAAAGGTCACGCTGATCCCTTCCCTTCCCTTCCCTTCCCTTCCCTTCCCTTCCCTTCCCTTCCCTTCCCTTCCCTTCCC